GGAGGCGGACTTGAATCCCCATCTCTGAAGATGTTTCAGAGCCGGGCACATTGTCCGGTTCCCTTTGCCACTCGCGGTGCGCACAGAGGTGCATGGTGTCAGAAGAAGGGGCAGCGGGGACACCATGGGGGGCCGAGGAAGATGACAGGTGTTGTGGGAAAGGAAGAGACAACACAGGGTTAGATGGAGTCACAGAAGTGGGGAGGAAAGGGACACAATGGGGGAGGGGGGAAAGGAGAGAGAATCAGGGGAGAGCAGTGCCTACACGGGCCGGTCTAATTATAGCGGATGTCTCTCAATGGAACAGCACTGACCGGATTTTAGGAAACCTGATCTTCATTTACATGCAGCCCTCACTCACGGCCCATGTTTACCAAACCTTACAAGGAAACCGGCACAGATTCCGTCGCTCATTAGGGCGCAGGGCTTCTTTCTGAGGAGGGAAGCATGTTCTAAACCTTCCCAAAGTATGGTGAGGGCTGCACGTCTCTGTGAATATATGAAAACTGCTGAATTGAACACTTGAAATAATCTAAGTGTATGTCATGTGAGTTTTACCTCAATGAGGCTGTTTTTTTTGTTGTTGTTTGTTTGGTGTTTTTTCTTTAAGGAAAACACTAGAGAGGGGTCATTTCGTTCAACATTGAAAAGCAATCAATAAGGAAGACAAAGTACGTCGCCTGGACAGTCTGGTGTGATGCGGGGATGGAACAAGAGGAGGAGCTTGGGGACACTCAGAAGTGAGAGCTGAAGGCCTCGTGCAAGACTGAGCCCCAAAGCTGAGTTTGAGAGGGGACTGCTAAAGCCTGGCTCCATGCTGCAGACCTTCTGTGGGAGCTGCCCACTCCCTCCCTATCCCGGGGAGTGAGCACAGGCCCACGTTCCCCGTCTTGGTGCACCCCGTTTTCTCTGCACCCACCATCTCCTCCTCTCTCCCTTCTCCCCACTACACAGATGTCCTCAAGACCCTTTAGTTCCTCCTCGTGCCTGATGGCCAGCTCACACCAAATGCAGTCCTCTGATTGGGGGAGGGATGAAAGAAAAAACGTGTAGTAAGAAGTCCGAGTGGGAACATGCCAAGAAAAAACCTGTAAGAGTATGCAAGTGAGATTTTATACTTAAGGGTCAAAAACGAAACTGTTCTCTAGTTGAATGCTAGCCGAATGCAAGCTGCGCACCGTTTAAATTCATCTGGTGTACTCCTCCGAGACACATAAGGGTGCTCTGAGTGGCACAGTTAGGTGGAATTTAAATCATTTCAAGAGATTCCTATTTCCCCAGCCTCATCTCTTTTTACATAATCAGCCAAACCATTTCTCAGGTTTGGTGCTCATGGCTGCCAGGTGACAAAAAGATTCTGTTTTGCGTTGAGGCTGGGGAAAGACCAAGAATGTCTTGAGGAAAACTCAACTAAACAGGGAAGTTAACTAAATGTATGATCCCTCTTTGGTGACATAAATGTCCAGTCTTCAGAAACTTGGCTGTTTCTATTGCAAGTCACAGGAGTCAAATGACGGACGGACTGCTACACAGGTTGTCCTGCCTGAGGCAGGGAAGGCGAACCGCCAGGGCAGGCCACAGACAGCGCTGTCCACGGTGCTGAACATATTCGGCCAGCTCATTCTGCACCAGGGACAGAAACACCAACACAAGCCTGCTTCCTCCTGGCACATTCTGGCCCTTAATCTACTGGCATCACGTGGTTTGAAAAGGAGAGCGATGGTGTCGCCAGTTTAAGAAAGCTGCGTACAAAAGCCCAGACTAAAATAAGCAGGTCAGTTAGTTAACATCTCATCCCACCGATCAAAGGTGAAATGTCAAAGATAAAAACATCCATTTTTTTTTTCACATCATAATGAGTAGAGTGTGTCTTAGGTTGCTTAATTATGTCCCTACTGCTTAGATGAATTTCAGATTTTTGGCCTTAAATCAATACCTTTGTGTATATTTTAAAATCTAGAATTACTGTGTTAGGGCAGCTTTCAAGATATGGGTCCCAGGAAATGAGTGTTTGTGGGCTCTGGAAACATGCTGTGCACTGCTTCTGGGAGTTCTGTGCCCCCCGCCAGCACTGCCCAGGCACCCACACTGCCAGGCTCCGGAAGCCTGGAGACCATGGCTGATGCGAATCCAGCTCCCGCCCTGCCTGCCTCCTGATGCAGAAGTGCTCCATCCTCAGCGTGGCCACATCAGGTGGCACGGAGGGAAGAAGAGCCACGCAATGGGCTCCAGGAGAAGGAACCAGCACAGCTGGAGAATCCGAAGGGCACTCCAAATCCCAGCCTGGCCACGCGGCTTTGGGT